TTTAATCTAACGGCAGTGGTAATTCTGAGGATTTTCGCGCGTTTTGGTAAGTGGGGGTGTTATGGTAATTGCAGTGGCTATTTATAGCGGGCGGGTTCCAGAATACACCAACAGTGTTGACAACATACACCAAAAGTGTAATAAAACACACCAATGGTGTATTCCTGTGTTATGGTAATTACAGTGGCCATTTATAGCGGACGGGTTCAGAATACACCAACAGTGTTGACAACATACACCAATAGTGTAATAAAACACACAACAATGTGATTTTCCCTATTCTGGTGTCTTATGACGAGTTTATCCTTGCAATTCGCTGGATAGGAGTGCGAAAATACTGAAAAAATCTTGATTAATATGATTCATTTGATCTATCTAATCTAATGGCCTATAATTAACCATATGACCACACTTAACAACATGCATGGCCACATGTGATCACCCCTATAAATAAATAAATAAATATATATATATATATATATATATATATATATATATATACACACACACACACACACACACACACACATTTATATATTTCTTATTTTATTCCTAATTAAATTTATTTCCTATTTCACCACCACCATCACCGCCGCGGCGCCGCCGCCACCACCCCACAACCACCGCTGCCACGCCACTGCCACCACCACCACCACCGTCGTTGCTGCCAGCACCACCACCCCGCCATCATCACCGCCACATATTTTTATAAGGGTATTTATGTCTTTTAAAATATATTTCATTTCTATTCATTAAACCAACCAAACACTGTATTATAATTTCTAAAGTTTATTCCTTCCGCGAATCAAACAATAGAATACAATTCCTATTATATTCCTTGCCTATTCTATTCCTTATGGAATAACATTTCTATTACCTCAAAATTCATTTCGTGAACCAAACGTGTTGTAAAAGAGTGGTTCATTTATACTGTTGTTTCAAATGTTATTAATCAATTAATATTTTAATATGTGATAAGGTCAAAGAATAATGTGGTTAACAACAAATGTTGTGTATAAAGATTTTTTTTTTTTTTTATTTGTAAAATGTAGTTGTGCATTTATTTAGTATATGGATGTCATTCTTTCTTCTTCTGATCTTCTTCTTCTTCTTCTTCTTCTTTCTTTTTTTTTTTTTTTTAGATAACAAGGGGAAGTGAGGGGAACCCACAACGACTAATAGAGAGTGTTCACCAGGTAAACTCCGTATTAATGTAATAGAAGTAAATCAAATAGAAGAAATAAATCGCACTAACTAGGAAGACCATGTATAACGAGCGGTTCAATCAAGAGAGTGTTGGCAAAAATTGAATTCGTGGCATTCAAATATGAAGGGAGACCAATAGGCAACCTTGACGAAAAATTAATTAAATTTAAAATTTTGTAGTTACTAAGTTAATTGATGGATCAACTTAGTTAGGGGTTGTCCCTTAAATATTTTTATTTCAACAGTTATAAACGTTGTATATAGTGACTTCCTTATTTATACAATTTAGAGTAAATACCCAAAATGGTCCCTCGACTATAGCTAAATTCACAAATTGGTCCTCAATTTTCAATTTCACCCAATTAAGTCCTTAACTTTGCAATTTTGACACGATTTGGTCCTCCATCTAATTGACCGTTTGTTGACCGTGATCGACGATCTCCAGAAGAACCTTAAGCTCTCGTCGGAGCACGTGGAGGCCTCCAAGATGACGTTGCACCGGTTCGGAAACACGTCGTCTTCTTCGCTCTGGTACGAATTCAACTACATTGAATCCAAAGGGAGGATGAAGAAGGTGACCGGGTTTGGTAGATTGCTTTCGACAGTGGATTCAAATGTAATAGTGCGGTCTGGAAATACAACCAGAACCTTAAAAAACCGACGATGGACCATGAAATATATATCCTCAAAAATCACAGTCAACAAACGGTCAAATAGATAGAGGACCAAATTGTGTTAAAATTACAAAGTTAAGGACTTAATTGGGTGAAATTGAAAGTTGAGGACCAATTTGTGAATTTAGTTATAGTCGAGGGACCATTTTGGGTATTTACTCTACAATTTATTATGAAAATATATGATTATGGAGTGTTTGGCAAATAGCTGTTAGCGGGTTCGATTAGCTGATAGCATTAGGTGATTGTAAAAAGATGTTATCTGATAACTAATTACATGTAAAATGATATTTTAAGTGTATAATTTATTTTCTTTAAAAAACGGATAAAAAAACTGCTTTAAGCAACTTTTTAAATTTTAATGTTTTAAAACAATAAACTGTTAGAAAAATTGATTAACCAAACACTCATATTAATTATTTAACAAAATCAAACAACTAATAATAATTAAACAAGTCAAAATTAACTCATAAGTTAACTATGTATGTTACCAAACATGGCTTATATAATAAACTCTCTATGAATTACTATATATTTTTTAATGAAGATAGTGTTCATCACTTATTGAATCGGTTGTCCGTGTCGTGATTGATAATGAATTATGATGGTAAAAGGCCAATGGCTAATTAAAGCCTCAGTTTGTTCATACCGATAACCAAAGCCGTAAGCATGGCGGGCGAATTATAATTGACGACAGCCAGCTACTTGCAAGTCACATCTCAACTCGTCAGCGCCAAACTTGTTATTTAAAGACAAATAGATAATGGATAAGATGAAAACTTGACTAAATTAAATTTAATATTACATTTAATTTGTTGTAATTAAGAGGAATTAAGACAAGTAGATAATGGATAAGAATGCACTTAAACTTCTCCCAAAAAGATTGAATCATCAACTTTAAGAATTGACTAAATTAAATTTAATATTACATTTAATTTGTTGTAATTAAGAGGAATTAAGACAAATAGATAATGGATAAGAATGCACTTAAACTTCTCCCAAAAAGGTTAAATCACCAACTTTAAGAATTCCCACATTTCAACTTGACAGAGCATTTAGGAAGATGTAAATCACGATACCCGCACGGGCTTAGTTTAATGGTATAGTGGGCAGTATTTGGGGTAAGAGACCAAGGTTCGAACCTCGGCAGCGGCAATGTGAGAATTATTATGTCTAAAGTGGGCAGATTCCTTGTACGCACCGGCATTTGGCCTTGCTACTAACCCATTGAGTCACCGTGATTTACATCCTCCCACCAAGGTTCGAACCCAGCCGCTTCTCGCATACACATCGGACCAATATTATGGTTTTGGTCCCGCCATCCTCTACCTTTCCGTAAAGCCTCCACTGTCACTTTCGAGTCACACGTACTCCAGAATAATCCTAGCAGCCCCATACTCTTTCGCCATACGTAAATCCTGTAGAACGCCCCATGCCTCCGCAGCTTCGCTTGAACATCTCCAATAGTATACGAATACCCTCGTATCCAGTCTCCATTTTCATCCCTGAGCACCCCACCACAACCTGCCAGACCATGGATAACCTAAAAGGATAAATGGATATTTTTTGTATTTTTTTTTAAAGGAAGCATTATTTCATACGGAGTATATTATATACACAATTACACACACTCACGCAAACAAACAAGTAAATTATATGCATATTCTAATTTGAAGGTTCACTACACCGCAGCACAAGTTTGAACATAGTATGAATTATACACACGATTAGGATCTATGAAAACTTGTTCCACATAAAAATTAAAAGTAAATTACAATTATTTATCTAGGAACATCTAATGGCTCTAAAGAAATTAATTAGTGAGAAAATACATGACATTTTGATAAATAACTACAACTTTAAAGTATATTATTTATTTCTAAGTGCACTTTAAAATTCATATAAAAGTGTTTATAGAAAAACTACAAAATGTGCACTTTAAAGTTATAGATAATTACTAAAATATTATTGTATTTTTTTCATTCTATTTACTTTAGATATGTTAGATCTACTTAGATGGACCACTGCGATTGAATTTTAATTTAATTTTATTTTTTCTAAAGATGAGTTCTCATATAAGCATGCATGTTACCAACAAATAAAAAATAGGTAAAGGAAAATGCTATTTCCCCTCATAAGTTTTTCTTAATATTTTTCCTATAATGTGGCTTATATTCATTGATGCCATGAATTGGTTGACCCTACACGTACACTTTTAATTAGATACAAAATAATTCAATTGGATGGTGCTACATCATGAGGAAAAATTGAGAGTGAAATTTTAAAAGATGTTATTAGAACAACCCCATCAAATGTTTTTGTAGGGGTTTTTGGCTAATACAAAATGTGTGGATTGGGTTTTTGCCTGATGTGGGGATTAGTTTTTTAAAAATTTCTCCTGCAAATAAAAAATTTTTGTAAGAGAAAAAAAAAAGAAAAAAGAAAAAAAAAGTGTGTATTCACAAACGCGCATATGCTGATTGCTTCAAAGCTATGTTGTTGTTGTTGTTGGGGTTTTTATTTATTTATTTATTTTGTAGTTATGTTATTTAATTTACCATGATTATGTGGTCTAATGGTACTCGGGTTGGACACTTGGACTTTCATTTGGAAGAATTATGAGTTCGAGCCTCAGTGGAGATACTACAATGTAATAGAGCCAGTAATATTAAAAAAAAAAGTTGTACAACTTTTTAAAATTTATGTAATGTAATGTAATTTGTTTAATGTAATATATAATTTTAATAGCATATTATTTCAATTAAAATTTTATAATTATCATCAATTAAATGTAAATATAAAGTCGTGAAGATAAAGGAATATACACAAATGGGCCATTCTCTCTCTAGAATACTAGGGTTTTGCTTCCTCTCCTAGGGTTTGACTAGGGTTTTGCAACTTTCTTGATCTTCCCCGGATTTAATCCGTGTCTGGTGTCTTCGAAACTGTTTGGTGTGTGGAGGGAGTTGCTGTGTTAGTTGCGAGGATAGTTTCTGGTATCTGTATCGGTGAGCTGCTGCTGTCGAACGTGCGTGAACATTATCGGCATACGTGGGTTTTGGTTTGAGACGGGGGGCCCAAGTGTTGTAGCGATCAGAATTGGCTGCTGTGTGGTGCGGAATGGCGGATGAAGGAGGGGATGCTCAAGTCGCAGCCTTGGCAGAAAGATGGGCGGACATTGCGATTGCGGATGAGGATGAATGTTTTGCTCCGGTTGGTGAAGGGGTGGTGGCAGGTGCGGACCCACCGGTGCAAACTTGGAATGTTGTTGGCAGATTCTTGACAGCGAAATTGATCAAGTTGGAATACATGAGGCAAGTTTTGGCATCGGTTTGGCAACCGGTGATGGGTGTGACGGTCACAGAGATACAGAAGGGCTTGTTCCTATTCGTTTTCTTCCATAAAACGGATGTGGATTATGTTCTTGAGGGAGGGCCGTGGGCGTTTGAGAATAGTACCTTGGTGTGTCGCCTTGTTGAGGATGGGGTACTGCCAGTTAACGTGGGTTTGAATACAGTTGATATGTGGGTGCAATTGCATGATGTGCCAATGGGATATACATCACAACCAATTCTCGAACAGATGGGTAATTTCATTGGAGCTTTTGTTAAGCATGATGAGAGGTTCGTGGGGGCGACCTGGTTAGCCTTCTACCGTATCCGTGTGTCAATCCCGGTTGATAAGCCGCTACGGAGGCGCATGAAGTTGTTAAAGCGTGATAAGACTACATGTTGGGTTAACTTCAGGTACGAGAGGTTACATTCATTTTGCTTTTTCTGTGGGATGATGGGGCATTCTTATAAGTTTTACGTGAAGGCTCGGGTTTCTATGCTGCCGGTTCAGCAGTATCCGTATGGCCCGGAGATGAGGGTGGGGGGAAGTCGGGGGCCGAGGGAGGTGGGGGAGAATTGGTTGGTGCCTGTGGGAGGAAAGCCGAGGGTGGTGGTTGAGGGTGCGGTGGTGGGGGTTCGGGAGGGTGTGACAACGGTGGGGGAGGGACGTGGGGTTGAGGGAGGCAGTGTGCATGATGAGCCTGTGGTGGAGGCAGTGGCTAAGAGGAGAAGGGAGGAGGGGTATGAGGGTGTGGGGAGGGATGGTGGGGAGGATATAGCTATGGCAGATGTGTCAAAAAACATGTTCTCGGCGGGAGCTGCGGCGCAGTCCCGCCCGTCATTATGATTACGTTATGTTGGAACTGTCATGGCTTGGGCAATCCACGGACAGTTCGCGAGGTGGTGGACATGGTGTCGAGTAAGAAGCCGGATTTTGTATTTTTGATTGAGACAATGGTGAAGAGTGATCATGCGGAAAGATTGCGGGTAAAGTTGGGATTTGAAGGGGTATTTTATGTGGATCCTGAACGGCAACGTGGTGGTTTGGCATTGCTATGGAGGTACAATAACACGGCAAGGTTGATTAGTTACTCTAAAAATCACGTGGATGTGGAAGTCACGTTAGATAATCACCCCCCGTGGCGAATGACATGTTATTATGGGTTTCCCAAAAGATCCATGAGGCGGGAATCATGGGAGCTGTTAAAAAGGTTATCAATGCAATCCACATTGCCATGGGTTGTCATTGGTGACTTTAATGATCTTTTATTCCAGTCTGAGAAGCGTGGAAATAATCCACACCCGGAGGGTTTGTTGCGGGGTTTTGGGGAGACACTAGACTATTGTGGTTTGTTACAGTTGCCTATGGAGGGGTATCTGTACACTTGGGAAAGGGGTGAAGGAACAGAGGATTGGGTTGAGGAGAAGCTGGATAGAGCAGTGGCAACTATGGAATGGCGTGAGTTGTTGGTGGAAGCTAAGACGGTTAATATTCTCACACGTAAATCGAATCATTCGGCCATATTCCTGAGTATTTCTAATCCTATGAGATTTGGGGTCGGTGGTCCCAGGGCGTTTCGTTTTGAAATGGCTTGGCTTCTGGATTCAGGTTGTCGTGGTGTGGTGGAACAGGCATGGCTTGATGGACAGGGGAATGGGCTGCTGCATAGTCTACAGTTGTGCAAAGACCGGTTACAGGCTTGGGGTGGTGACCGGTTTCATATGTTTGGTAAGCAGTTGAAACTCTTACAGGCCAAACTGATGAAATTGAAGGGAGGCAGAGGACCTGCAGTGTTAGCTGAGTACAATACAATTAGTGCTCAGTTGTCTCGTCTGGAGGCGCAGGAGGATGTCTATTGGCGGCAAAGGGCAAAGCAGCATTGGCTACGTGGGGCGGATGCTAACACCAAATTTTATCATAGGTATGTTTCATCTCGTAAGCGGAAAAATTTCCTAAATAAATTGAAAGGGGTTGATGGAAATTGGGTTACTAAGGGTGCTATGAATACTGTTGTTATTGATTACTTTGTTGATATTTTTAAGTCATCTAATGCCCCACCCCATAGTAACTTTTTTGGTACGGTGCTCCCCCGTGTGTCTGAATCGCATAATGAGTCATTGTTAGAACCTTTTGTGGCGGAGGAGGTAAAAAGGGCTCTGTTTGCTATGTATCCGGATAAGGCACCTGGGCTGGATGGAATGAACCCAGGCTTCTATCAGCACTTCTGGGGTGTTGTGGGGCCGGAGGTGACGGAGTTTGTGCTCAACTGCCTCAATACGGGAGTTTTCCCGGAGGGCTTAAATGATTCGAATGTTGTCCTGATCCCGAAAAAGAAGGTCCCTGAGAACCCTGCGGATTTGAGGCCAATTGCGTTGAGAAATGTGGTCTATAAGATTATGGCCAAGATGATTGCGAATAGGATGAAGCCGTTTATGGATTCCATTGTTTCGGAATCCCAGAGCGCGTTCATTCCTGACCGGTTGATAACGGATAATATTCTGGTTGCTGCTGAGGTGGGACATTTTCTTAACAGGAAGCAATGTGGAAAGACTGGTTGGGGGGCCCTAAAGCTGGATATGGCCAAAGCGTATGATAAGATGGAATGGTCTTTCTTAAGACAGATGATGATTGCGCTGGGCTTTGCAGAAGGATGGGTAAATTTGATTATGTTGTGCGTTACTTCAGTTTCGTATAATATTCTTATAAATGGTGCAGTTGGAGGAGTTGTGGTACCATCACGGGGCCTAAGGCAAGGAGACCCATTGTCTCCTTATCTTTTTATTATTTGTGCAGAAGGTTTGTCCTTGATGTTGCAGCAGGCGCAATCGTTGGGAACTATCCATGGATGTAGAGTAGCAAGGGGGGCTCCGGCTATTTCTCATTTGTTTTTTGCAGACGATAGCCTATTGTTCTTTAAGGCAAATGCCCAGGAGGGGGGAGCGGTAAAGCAATGTTTGGAGCTCTATGAAAAATTGTCTGGCCAGTCTATAAATTACCATAAATCCAGTATATGCTGCAGTAAAAACACAACAGATGAGGAGAGGGATGAAGTAGCGGCGGTGTTTGGGGTAGCCCAGGCTAATGATTTTGGAAAATATTTGGGATTACCGTCGTTTATTGGAAAGAATAAGAAGCAGGTGTTTGCGTTTATTGAGGAGAAGATCCGGCAAAGGGTGGGATCTTGGAATAAGAAATTGTTGTCACAAGCAGGTAAGGAGATTCTGTTGAAAACGGTAGCACAGGCTATGCCTACCTTTTCAATGGGTGTCTTTTTACTAACAGACTCACTTTGTGTGGCGCTGCAAAGAACCATGAATAGGTACTATTGGGAGAAGGGAGGTACGGGTGGAGGAGGTATTCATTGGATGGCTTGGGATCGACTCAGCAGGCCGAAGGTAGCTGGGGGACTGGGATTTAAGGACCTAAAGGCCTTTAATCTTGCAATGTTGGGGAAGCAGGCATGGCGTTTTCTTACAAAGCCAGAGTCTTTAGCTGCGAAAGTATATAAGGCAAGGTATTACCCTAAATCTAATTTTATTGATGCCACTGTGGGAAATAACCCAAGTTATTGCTGGAGGAGTATTATGGCTGCTCATGGCCTTGTATGTGGGGGGATAAAGAGGAGGATTGGGAATGGAGGGACAACAATGATAGGTAAAGATCCGTGGCTTTTGGATTTGGATTATAAAATCCATACTGTTTACCACATAATATTTATGAAGCAGGGGTGTCAGGTTTGATTGATCAGGATACTCGTACTTGGGACCTGGATATTTTGAATGATATTTTTGACCCAGTTGATGTGAACCGAATCCGTAGGGTGCCTGTTTGTCCGGACTATGAGGATTCATGGTATTGGTATAAGGAGCATAATGGGTCATATTCGGTCAAAAGTGCGTACCGTTCCGTTGTGGGTGAGATACAGAATAATACTGGATTTAATAGATGGAATGCACTCTGGAAGTTGGAAGTGCCACCTAGATGGAAAACTTTTTTGTGGAGAGCCATAAGTGGTATTTTGCCAACTATGACTGCCTTGGCAAGTAGAAGGGTTGATGTGTCTTTAGCCTGCCTAATGTGTCTTGATTTTAATGAAGATGTTATGCATTGCTTGATTGAGTGTCAATATGCTTGTCGTGTTTGGAATGATTCAGGCCTTGATATAGCTTCTGTGGTCGGGGGATCCTTTGTGGAATGGTTTCAGAATGCAATGTCTGTGCTAACGATGGATAATCTAATTAAATTTGTTGCAGTATTATATCACCTCTGGAGTGCACGGAACTCTGCAGTTTGGGAGGGGAGCATGTGGATGCCGAGGAAGCTATGGAGTTGCGCCAAGGCAAGCCTTGCGGCTTGGGCAGCAGCACTGCCGAGGGGACCAAGAACGACACAACAGCATCACTCCAGTGCCATGCAGCAGCATCCCCCCGTAACGCATGGTGCGGTGTGCTATGTAGATGCGGCGTGGAGTTCTCTTTCGCGGACGGCATCGTATGGAGCGGTAATATTGGATGGGGCCGGGGCCTTTGTGGCGGCAACAAGGGGTCAACTGCCATTTTGTGAAAATGCTATCATAGCGGAGGCCTTAGCATGTAAAGAGGCGTTATCGTGGTTGAAGGATCGGCAAGTAACGGAGGTCACTATGTTCACGGATTGCTCGGTCTTGCAGGCCTATCTATCCAGAACTGGTTCACAACCCAGATCGTATGTTGGAATCGTGGTTCATGAGTGTCAAGTCGCTATGGCACAATTTATTTCATGTCAATTTAATTTTATTCCTAGACGTTTAAATGTTATTGCTCATACGTTAGCTACAATGGTCACTGACCAGGATATTGCTATGTTTTGGGACGATGTCCCCCCTGATGTTATTATTCCACATTTATAGTAATGAAAATACGCAACTTTGCTTTCAAAAAAAAAAATGTAAATATAAACAATAATAATTATAATTACAATTTGAGGAAATTTCAATTTTGGTCATATGACTATAGGGGTCTTGTTAATTTTAGTCCATGACTTTTAAAATTGTTAATTTAGTATCTTAATTATGCAATTTTTGTCAATTTTGGTCACTCCGACCAAATTTCGCTGGAAAATTTTAATAATTAAAATAATAAGGGTATTTTGATCGTTTCACGCCTCTTTTCTTCTTCTCCAGCGAGTCCATTCTTTTCTCTCCCGTTTCCCGCGTTCTTTCTCCCTGTAAACCCTATCTTTAATATCATCAAGCATCCTTTCCCCATCATCTTAGTTCATTTCATTCGTCGGAAACGGGAGAGGAAGGGATGGACTCGTCTGGGAAGAAGAAAAGAGACGTGAAATGATCAAAATACCCTTATTATTTTAACAATTAAAAATTTTTGACGAAATTTGACCAGTAATTTGGCCGGAGTGACCAAAATTGACAAAAATTACATAGTTAAGGTACTAAATTGACACTTTTAAAAGTCAGGGATTGAAATTAACAAGACTCATATAGTCATAGGACCAAAATTAAAATTTTCTCTTACAATTTAAATAAAAAAAAAAACTATTACTCCGTATTAAGAATGATTTTTTAGATTGAGTGGAATAATGAATGTTGAGGTGGATGTTAAGACCCATAAAAAAAATGCAACGGTTGATGTTGCTCTTAACATTACTCAAAAAATAACAAGAGTATTTTTATCCCATAAGTGGTTAAAATGAGAGTTAAAAGTAGGTGCCTAGGTGACAATTATTATTGCGTGGACCATGGTCCAAAAACATATAAAGTAAATTATAATAACTCATAAATTACATTATTCAAACACATAAAATATATTATTTTAATTCATACACTACATTATCTTATCTCAAACATTTCATTATTTCAACACATAAACTACAATATACATTGTTTTAACATAAAATATATTATTATAACACATAAAATACATTATTCTAACTCATAAAATATATTATCTTATTCTAAAAATTTTATTATTCTAATACATAAAATACATTATTCTAATTCATACAATACATTATTTTATCTCAAAATATTCATTATTCTAACGCATAGAGCAAAGGATTTTTTCAACCATTCATATTCCTTCTTCCAGAAGGCTGAATCCTAACCCTAAGGGCCCCCATACTCCGACCCGACCACAGAGGCTAGACCTGTGCTCACTGCGTACAAAGAACGCCCCTTATTTTGAGAGGTTGCTTCCACACTACTGCTGGTGAGACTCGATCTTTGGTTATTCTACCAAAATTTTACTTCTGTGACCAATTGAATTGTCCATGCAAGTAACCATTCATATTCCTTCTTCCAAAAAGTTGAACCCCAACCCTAAACCATTCATATTCCTTGTTTTAGCTGTCGCGGTATGAGAAATAGTAGCATTGAAACCTTTCTATTTCTATACTATTATTATTATGTTTTATGTATTATAAAAATAATATTAAATAAGTCAATGTTTTCACCATATGGAATTAATAAAAATAGTAATAATTACAGACTGTCTATCACCCACAGCATCACATCTGATCCCACGGCGGCCCTCATCTTGAACCAACCCATTTCTGTATCCTATAAGACAAACCATTCTTCTTCAACAATACAGAGATTCACAAAATCTGTAGAGATATAGAGAGAGAGAAGAGAGAGAGAGAAACAATGTGCTGCAACTCCCATGGATTAACACTCTCAAGAAGCGACCCTCGCTTCTCCTACCTCTCCATCATTCACTCTCCCCGACCCGACCCACGCCGCGCGCTGTTCTTCCCCGTCCGCCTCCGAGTCCGGACCGGCAGAATCAAGTCCAAGCTCAACGACGCCGTTTCGGTCGCCGAGCCCAAGTCCTTCTACGACCTTCTGGGCATATCCGTGACGGGATCGCTGCCGGAGATCAAGCAGGCGTACAAGCAGTTGGCCCGGAAGTACCACCCGGATGTGTCGCCTCCGGATCGGGTCGAGGAGTACACGCAGAGGTTCATCCAGGTCCAGGAGGCTTATGAGACCCTGTCGGATCCTAGAAGGAGAGCTTTGTACGATAGCGATATGGCTAAAGGCCTCCACTTTGCCTTCTCCGCTCGTCGACGTTGCCAAAGCGACGAGGTTTGCTTTTCTACTTTTCATATTTATTTCTCCTCTCTCTCTCACTCTATTGGTAAATTAAACTTTTTTTTTTTTTTGTAAATTATTAATTTTCTGGAATTCTTAGACTAGTAATTGGGGTAAAATGGAATTGATGTTTACACTTCTATATTCATGCTTCGCAAAATTAGGAAAGAGGATGATGTAGGCCCCTTTGTCTATATTTATGAAGAATTGAAGGTTTTCATTGAAGATTGAATTTAAGAAGTTTAAAGTTTATGCAAAATTATATTAGAACACTTCTATTGAAATGCAGTCTAATTAATGTTTAAATGCTTGGCAGCTTAATTTTATAAACTGGCCCCCTCTTTCTTGCTTGTATACTGTTGAAAAGGTGTCATTTTGGTGACTTTAAGTTTGTTCTGAAAGTGTTGACCTTAATCTTATCTGGAGTTCTTGGTTATGTAGAGTGGTAACTTTTCAATGATAAGTTGATAACTAGTTTCCAATGATTCTCTGTTAAATCTGCCTACTAAATTTTCTCACCTGCATACTAATATACAAGATAATTGATGTTTCCATTCTGGGCATATAATCATTTGGCTTTCTGGAACATCTAGTCCCTTGGTGATATATTCCAAAATGGGAATAGAAATATGGAAGACTCTACTTGGAGTTTGAAATAAGAATCATTTGTGTTGCACTTAATATCAGTAGGCTTAAGTGAGAGGTCTCAGGTTCGAACCCCAGGGGGCTTTGACTCTTTGTGTTTCAATAGGTTGAGAAAGTTTGTATGAACAGATACTATATTATAATAGAGTCAATAATATTAAAAAAAAAAGTGATATCATGCCAATGACCTTGTGGTCTAGTGGCATGAAGTGGCTCTCCCATTGACTCTTTGTGGTTCAGTAAGTTGAGAAAGTAGCTATGAACAGATACTAAATTGTAATAGAGTTAGTAGTACTCAAAAAAAAAAAAAAAAGTGATATCATATATTTTTTCCCTGCAATATTTGAAGTGCTGCCTATGTTTGAACTGCCTTTTACACAATTAATAATATGTGATTTGATTCGTGTGATACCTTATTCTGCCATGATTGCAACATAAATGTTTCCCGGGTACCAAACATGTTAATGCCTCTCCCTTCAGTTTATGTCTCAAAGCACCCTTAGTTATTGTAAGATACATTTTTTAAACAGGTAGTTCTATTTTATGATATGAAAAAAGTGGGGAAATTGCACTTTGTCCTTCAACTATTGCCAGTTATGAAATTTAGACCCCAATTGTCAATTTTAATAAATTTAGTCCTTCAATTGTTTTAAAGGTTGCCAACTCAGTCCTTTTGCAACTTCGGTGTTAAACAATTGAAGGACTAAATTTTCTTTAAATTGACAATTGGGGACTAAATTTCATAACAGACAATAATTCAAGGACTATAAGTGTGATTTCCCCTAAAAAAACACTTCTTTTGCATTCTTGGTTTTGAATTGTATCTGCTTGTATAACATATGCATTGTTGAAAAAATCGCTAGGTGCCTAGTGTCTAGGTGGTAATTAATCGGCGCCTAGGCGTCTGTGTATTTTTTTTATTTTTTTAAAATTTGTTTAAATTCTTTTAATTTTTTAAGACTTGATAATTATAAACTATTTAATACTTTAATAGTTAATACTAAAATATTAAATATTAATCTAAAAAAATCTAGAGTTTTAACAATTGAGTGAAATAACCCATTAAAAAAGAAAAAGAAAAAGAGAACAATAACTAATCTGCCGACCGGCGCCTAGACGGAATTTTTGCAACACTGGTTATTATATATATATATATATATATATATATATATATATATATATATATATATATATATATATATATATATATATATATATATATATATATATATATATATATATATATGTGCAAATTATTTTAGACTTGTGATTCTCTATCTGATTTGGTTTCTTTGTGCATGTAGTATATGGAGGAGAAAAGCGAGTGGAAAGGTCGATGGCAGTCTCAAGTATCAGAGCTAAAGAGAAGAAGCATGCATAAAGACTCCGGTGACAATCTATCGTGGGGAGCACGAATGCGTCGGCAAAGGAACAATGAAGAAGCATCATGATAGCGCAATAAGTTCGTATGTATACATGTAGTGTATATATTAATCTTCCAAATAGATAGGAGACACTTTTAGGGTACCTTTTGGTTACATTTGGTTTGATCAAGACGAGTTGCAGTACCAACATAGTTACAACCGTGTACTGCAGTTAGATTTGCGTTACAGATCACCTGATGCCAACCAGCAACATAGTTGTACATAGAATTACAATAAATTGAGGTTGCCTTATATGCAACTTTATATGTTTTTGCTCAAGGAATCGAATCGCCTAAGATGGTTTCACTTGTGACAGTGTATGATGACTATATATAGATTTGTTATCGTTTATCCTGTGATTTGAAACTTGTCACGAGTATGGAGTTTTGGTAGGACATACTATTTTGCTATTTAGGTGAAGTTGATTCACAGAGGTTTCTTTAATCTTTGGTTTTTAGGCAGGACTTTATAAATTGTGAAGGAAAATGATTTTCCAGTCTATTCTGCTTTCATTTTCTTTTGTCATTATTAAGCTTGCTGGTTTCTGGTCTTGATGGATACAGATGAAATTGTGGGGCTTATAATATTTTGGCTCCTAATATAGTGTATATCTCAATTGGGTTCTATGTCTGACCGTATTGAGTTAGTTACCACTCTTTGTATTGTGTTTACGGCTTGTTTAGTTCATGAAATGAATTATTGAGTTTGTTACCGCTCTTTGTATTGTGTTTAAAGCATGTTTGATTCATGGAATGAATTGTAAGGAAAAGAATAGAAGTATTATATTGTTAGGAATGTTATTTCAGTGTTTGGTTAGTTTCTTTACCCAAAAAAAAAAAAAAAAAAAAACTGTTTGGTTGGTTTAAGAAATATATATAAATGGAATGCATTTAAAAGTCTTAAATATCCATATACAAAATATATAATAGTAATTACGCTCATTATTAAGAACATTGTTTATGGAAATAAAAATCATTATCAAATAAAGAAATATGCTTATTCTTAGAAACACCTAAAGAGATCTGAACAATTGTCGTTAGTTTCACCACTTTTTAAAGTAGAAGGACGGACTAAATTGAACAGAATAAAGGTACAAGGACTAAATTAAACAAAAAAATTTAAAATGACAAAAAAAAAAAAACGCCTATTATACAGTAGAAGTTGTAAAAAGAAATTTGAAACTTCGAAATAAAAATGTCATGACTAAAGTTGTGGGATGCAATTTAAAAAAAAAAAAAAAAAAAATCTTTATTGGACCAAAATGCAAAATCTGTGTATTATTTTATTTACTTGTGCTAGCACAGTTCTTGTGGAATGACACACATTTTTATTTTTATTTTTTATTTTTGGGTGGATGTGAAACAGGAAGCCAAAATATGTGGCTTTTAGGAGTTTGTCATCTGTTTGACTAATTTAAATATATTTGGAGTAAAGGGATAGCCCATTTCAGCATACTTTTAACCATGTGATTAAATCATGTGGTTGTGTATACAACTCAAAGGTAGTAGTTATCGAAGTAATGGGGTGTTTGATAAATAGCTGTTAGCTGATTGAGATAATAATTTTTTGAAGGAAATTTGGATAGAAAATATAATTATTTTTTGAAGGAAATTTGGATAGAGAATATAATCATTTTGCATATGACATTTGGTTCAGGTTATATAACATAACTAAGGGAATGTGACATTCCAAAGCTCAGATTCCTATGTTTGGTTCATATTATCTGAGGGAATCTAACATTCCCAAGGAATGTCACATTCCCTCCACGTAGGATTTTGAAGGGAATGTGATTCCCTTCAATTTCTTAGGTTATGTAAGATAACCTTAGTTATGTTAGAGATATTATAGTGTGTGTATAAAAGATAACCCTAAACCAAACATGATTATATAACATACCCCAATTTTAACCAAACACAGGAATCTAAGATTCCCAGTAATCTAACATTCCCAGTAATCTAACATTCCCTAAGGTAATCTGACATTCCGTGAACCAAACGACCCCTTAAGAAAGGAATATCATCATTTTTTGTAAGAAATTTTTGAATCATCCTACGTATAAATAATGGATCATTCTTGCATATTACTTCATTCATCCTTTGTCTTCTTCCATTCCGAAATATTGTAACACCTTCAAATGGATCCTTCGCATCCTCCACGCAATCCATTGTTTAACTTCTCACTACTTTCACATAATGATACTAATGAAGCTAGCCAATCAAAACTCACAACCTCCAATCAATCAATTCTCCTTTCTTCCCGGAATAAGCGATGCCAATTATAAGCAATTTCCTAGTTTGTTTCAAGGTGTTCCACCAACCTATCATCCATCATATTCCAGTTTTACTCCAATGCCTACTCTCACTGGGATTACTCATCCTACTCCTACAACAAATATACCTTTGCCAGAATTTCATGAGTACTCTACTCAAGAAATGCCAACACCTCAAGAAACACGACCAGCAAGCATATTGAAAAGTCGATGGACAAATAAGGATGATGACATGCTATTATGCAGCGCATGGCTCAATATTAGTAAAGATGCTGCAATTGGAAATGATCAAAGTCGTAATAGCTAGCTTTTGGAATCGAATTGTAGAATTTTATAATCTGTACCGGAGTCAACCTGAGCAAGCAAAAGGAAATAAAATGGCATTGCATAATTGATGGGGGAGGCTAAATCATTCAGTTTCAAAATTTGTCGGATATTATGAACATATTTTGCATTAGAGGGAAATTGGCTTAAATGAGGCTGATAAAAAAAATAGGGCCATGCAATTATATCACGAGATTGAGAAAGAAAATTTTATGTTTTTGCATGCTTGGGAAGTGCTAAGGAATGAAGAGAAATGGTACGGTGTAACCAAGATGGGAGGGGCATTGATGTTAACTTAACCAGAGATGAACGTCCAAAACAAACGAAAAATACAGAGTCATGTAAATACACATCATCATCAAATTCACAAGAAAGTGAAACACCATGTATGGGAGTGTCTAGCTCTCATCCCATGGGAAGAGACGCGTTTAAGGCGAAAGGAAAAAGAAAGCAATCACTAATACAGTCAACAGTATCAAAAAGTTTGGGCGAACAAGTTGAAAAGCAAATGAATATGAAAGTGGAAAAACTAAATCTTATGAAATAATATATGAAGCGACAAGAAGAAAGGCTGAAACAACAACAACAAAATGAGAAAAATAAGTTTCTCATTCAGCTTATGCAACTAGATACATCAACTATGAATGGAACACAAAAACAGTTGTACGATAAACAAATGAAAAAATTTATAAATGAGTAAGTATGATAAAATTAATTTGTATGCATTGTATTTCTAAATCAATAAAAATTTATGTACTCTTTTAATATATTATTTTATTAAAAAAGTTTATTACATATTAAATAAAGAATCAATTAAAAAAAAAGCAATTGTACGCCAAAAATAAATAAAAGAAACTAAACAAATAAAATAAAACAAAATAAAACAAAACAAAATACATAAACCAACAAAAAAAGGTACAAAAGCTGCCACAGCACTGCTGCTGCGGCAGCTTTTGTACGGATTGCAAATTTGCCTTCCGACTCGGCACTTAAAAAAAATAAAAAGTAAAAATGCTTAACAAAATGCCATGTAAACTTGCAAAGGGTGAAAATTACAAGGATATTTTCAGTCTTATATACTTAAATGCCACATAAGCAAATTTTAATATATTTCCTTTTAATAACTAATTTAAAATGTCAATTGTATCTTTTTTTTATTTTTATTTTTTTTGGATAAAGTTCAACATAGGTCCTTTAATTATAGACCAAAATGCTATTAAACCCTTAAACTAAGAAAAGCTCCTTAGACACTTCAACTCCTCTTTTTTATGCAAAGTCAATTATCAGGTTACCTTTAACTCTTTTAAGTAACTGATAAAAATGTATTTTTAATTCAAACAATTAATTAAAAAAATATATATATTTTAATTCAAATAAAATAATTAAAAAAAAAAAAACAAACCATATCAGATCACTTCTCCTTTTGCATTTTAGACATCTATGAATCCATCATTCTTCATTCTTTCCATGAATTCATCATCACCCAATTCCTCTCTAACGCCTCTAAACAAATCAAAGCGATCAGAAACATTGATCAATGTATAAACATCATGATACATTGAAGCATACAGGAGCACAACACTGCCTCCTGCAACAATTTAGGAAAACCTATAATGTTTAGATAAACCATTAACACAGTTTAATTAACCAATTCAATCCCCCATAAATTTACTATGTCCAAGAATGACAGTTATTTTGCGGTTGGTCACCATTTCTAGTTCAAACACATATATCGGCTGGTTTCTTATATGGCGAGTGCAACGTAACTAATGTTTTTGTCGAACATCTTGAGGCAGAACTGACACCAATCCTTCATTATCACAAACTTTGAGGACTCCATTGCTCTCATACAATGAATAAATAATGATTTCAGAGGCAAACCTTTTCATGCTAGGGATCTCATGTTGAATGCCGCCTCCATAGGTCTAGTGGAGGTGAAGACATGTTAATTATTTAATTAAATACTGTGTTAAATTTGCGGAGGCGGCATTCAACATGAGATCCCTAGCATGAAGCGGAGGACGGCTGCGATGCATCAAATGGATAAAATGACAGAAATGGAGTCCTCAAAGCGGAGAGGAATGAGATGGATAAAATGACAGTTTTGCTCTTATTATTGACAACCCTTAACATATGACTAAATTAGGTAAATGTTGTATAATTGAGGATTTAATTGGATAAGAATGGTAGTTGATCTGATGACTAAATTGGTAATTACGACATAGTTAAAGAACCATTTTGGTTATTAACTCTTTAAAAAATTATGGACTAAATTGTCTTAAAATGAGGAATTAATGAGTCTAATTGGAGTTTTCATAATTTAAAAGGTCTAATTAAAACTTTTTATAATTTGACAATTTTTTTTCATTAATATTTTAAAAATGCTTGTACTAGGCAACCAACTTCTTCACCAAGGGCCTTAAAAATTTATTCTCTTGATTTCCTAATCCCCTCGTCTACTATACAAATTTGAAACTCTCACTCTACGATAGGTAATTTTTTCTTACCTTGATAGACTTTTTGTACAATTTGAAGAAGTAGGCTTCATTGATATTTAAAACTCTAATAGCTTGAGCCACTTCGCTTGTGCCGATCCACTCAAGACCATACGTCTCATCCGCACTCATATCTGGTCTCACAAGGGCAACCATATCATCATTGTATGAAAATCTATGTTCTCCAAGCTTTGACTCTTTCTAATTGAGCCTTCAACTATGGATCCTCCCGCCTTATCTCCTCCTCTACACTTTGAATAAGATTGCCAGTAACTGTTGCATTAGATTCTTTAGCATGTAGAGTGTTTGCAATGTCTTGGTCTAGTTGTACTTGGCACTTGCACTTCTATATTAATTTGAACTTCTACTCCTACAAGTAGTTCAACTCTCTCCTTCTATCTCCTTGCATATTCTCATGATGCCTTTGAGGATGAGCAATTGAGGGGAATTGAAGGTTTGAGATGGTGGTTGTGATAGAGAGAGACTGATATAAAGGAAAGAAGTTAGAAGGCCAGGTGCAGAAGAAAGTGAAGAAGAAAAGTGAGGAAGAAAGAAGAAAAGTGTTGCTACAAGGAGTCAATGCATTTATTTTTTTACTGTTCATTCGTGTTTTCTAATAAGAGACAGTCTTTTGAGTGTATTTCTGATTTCTTATTAAATGGAGAATTGTTCTCAACTTTGAAAATTGGAAAATAGCATAGTAAACACCTTTTTTTAATTTCAATTTTCAAATTTGATTTTTTTTTTAAAAAAAAATTTCTGTTATCAAACGCCCTCTAAAAATTAAGAAATTTTTATTCTCCGAGTAAAGGAAAGCATCGGAAAATTACTTGAGGAGTGTGATGGACCTAGGCTAAGGAAGTCCATAATAAAGTTGTTCATGAAAATAAAATCGGGTCTCTTAGTAAATCAGAGTTCAAGTATCTAATTTATGTGTTAAATACAAAGACAATTGTGTAAATCATTTTAGTGGATAAAATAATTTATAAGATGACGACCTATATTATCGCGAAACAACTTTATTATCATTAATTATAAAATCAACGGTCTATTTTACTTGCCATGTATACACTCGTGCAAAGTAATCCCTGGAAATGAAAATTCGCTCTTCATTTCTACTTTATTTGCAGCAATGAATCGCTTCTGAATCTGAATTCCAGAAATTTCAAAATTCAAACCTCAACGTAGAGCGCCTGAGTTCCTAGTTCTGTCTTTCTTCGCCGCATATATAGTCACTTCAGGTCGGTTGTTCGACCTTTTTACATCATACATGATTCCGGAGATCAGTTGGCCAAAAGCCCTAACTGACATTTACATTTGAAACTTCAATTTTAGTTCAATTACGTGACAACCTAATAATGTTCTACTGAAGTCCGTGGATGCGTAACTAGTGTTTATCATTACTCTCCCTTTTGAATTTATTTTACGCAGAATGTATGTACTCATTGCGTTTCTTTTGTATGATGATCTGATGCAGGGAAATGGCTAGTTTGGCGGAAAGGCTTCATGTTCGGTGGGAGAGAAGGCCCGTTTACAATTTGGACGATTCAGACGACGAAGCTGATATTAGGCGCGGCAAATCTGGCCTTTCACAGGAGACAATAGAGAGATTTGTCAGACACGATGCGGTAAATTGCTCAATTTCGGTTTTTTTTTTTTTGTTCTTCTTATACTCACATTGCACATTTCTATGTACTTTTATATTGTGTTTGCTCTCTTGTTTTTACACTCTCTGTGCTACACTATTCACTGACCAACACAAAATGAACTGTGTAACTTGAAAATGAAGACATTCACTGGTAGTTTGGTTAGTGAGACAATCTTGGACACAAAAAGATGGTTATTTTATTTTATTTTTTCCCTTAAATATGATTTCTCTTACTGTGAACTTTCAACTCCACTGCTCATGATGTAAGGATTCAAATTAAATAGAGTTTCTGGAATTTTAGCTTCAGCAGTGTCTAGGATGTAAACTGATTGATCAAATGTGAGTTTAACACTTTAACATGCTTGGTTGGCTATTGAAATATTGGTTGTTTGCATTATAAACTGGACTTTGGTGAAAATTTAAGTATTTTAGGCTGCGTGATGGGCTTCCACTGTAGCAATGGGCAAAGTAACTTTAAAAAAAAAAAAAAAAAAAAAATTTATCCCACTTACTTGAAATTGACATCAATGTAGAATTGGCAGTAAGAAATTTTGCTGTGGTCCATGCTTCATAGAGGATCCCTTTTAAAAGGACTAGAATAAAGTCATAAACTGCTCAGTTAAATGGAAGAGTAGTTTCTCTGTAATTAAATATCGCATTACTATATCACTCTTGGATCATAAAAGATGCAAGAAATGCCTGGTCTGTGTTTGAAATTAAAACTGTATTATGATGTAATTATATATGCACTTTACCTAAGTGTGGTTACTACTTGTTGGAATTTAATTTAGGCAACCTTCCAATATGGCACTTTGTAATTCCAACTACTCTCTACTTTTATTCTAGCATTATCTTGGACATTTTACTCCCTATAGTAAGAATCTTTGATCATTAGGCTTGCAAATTTGGAGTGCCTTTTTATAAACCACTTAAAGTTAGCTTGATAATTATATGGAAAATAGAATGTTATGGCCAAGACCATAGAAATACGATAAATAAGTGGAACACATTAGTTCACTCTCAGATAGGGTAGTAGGGAGGTCGAAGGGCAATTTCTCATTCATGAAACGAACACTTTTAATCCCAAAGAGCTGAGTGGGGTTGGGGGGATTGGGAGTGAGAAAATATGTTGGCCAAATGGCATAAGTAGGAAAAAGAAGAATTTAGGATGAAATTTACTTAGGAAGAAATGATGCCAAACAAATTGTCAGGTTTAATTATTGGCTTACTTGAGAAGGTTTTAATAATTAGGTTATGAAACACCTATTGGATTAAAGTTTAAAATCAACCCTAGAATGAGAACTGTAAACTTATACACAGAAATGGATTGGGACATGACAAAGGCATGTCATAATGAAAGTGTAGATAAATATTACTTGTTATGCCAGGATATAGCACTATTGTTGTTGCAATTAATTAACATGTCTGTATGTCTCGTGACCAAGTGATTCCAATCTCAGAAATGGATGGATGCTAGGATCTTGTAGTGAGTGGATTATCTCATTATCCTGTGGGGTGTTCTTTGTATTTGGGTTGCAACTTATTTTATGCTTTCAATAAAAGAATTATCAATCAAAAGTCATTTTGATTATTGAGTAATATGTCTTAAAAAGAAAATGGATACATTTTACAATCTTGTACACCATTTAGCACTTCACTTGGAATATACATTAGTAAGATTGTTGAATCATTTTAAAATCTTTTTGCATTCTTTGGCAGTAGGTCTTTCATATTTTGTATGGTAAGTATTTATTGAACTTCAACAATTAGTCATCTATCATTTATAAACTCCATTTCTCCTATATGAATGGTTTTTCTTTATTTTGAGATTTCATGAAATAAAATGATCCTTTCCCATAACAACAATAATTATTTTATACAATAATCTGAATCAACTAAAATATTTCTACTAAAATCTTGATGCAATGTTTTTACTGTACAATTTACAAACTATAGATTCTTTATGCTCTATTTATTTGTACAATTTTACCTAATATTCTACCGTACTGATTGGAGTACAATGATGCATTTAAACTCTATTTTCTTTATATCCACTTCTATTTAAGATTTTAAGATGGATGAGGATAGTATCATGAGCTTTTGAATATCACCATTATAAGGAACAGTTCATATGAATGTTATGCATTTATGCCTTGTACTCTCGTATTTTCATTTATTTATTTATTTTTTAATATTTTGACATGGTTGAGTTCATGATAAGTCACATGCCAAAATTTTGTTGTGTGTATTTTAATGTTCGTCATCATAACTCTATGTGCATATTGAAATGCAACGATGGCATTCATTAGCTCATCCTATAATTAATCTATAATGGTTTGAATTTATTGTTAAGAACAATGAAATTTGTCCATTTTAAAAACCAAATGTATTCTTCTTTAATCACTTTTCTGGTTGATATGGAAGGATTATTTGCTACTAAGTTATTCTGAAGAACATCAAGCACCTTTGAAATGTCAAGGTTTATATCACTTTTTCGTAATTTTGGAACTAATTACATTCAATTATTGTTTTGTTTTGTTTTTGTTTTTGTTTTTATTTTTTTGTTTTTTTTTTATTTTTATTTTTTATTTTTTGTATTTTAATGTTTTGACCTTTAAATAAATGCCTTCAAAGCGAAAATTGAAAAAAAAACATGTTTATTTCGCATTTACTTCGTAAAGGGGTATATGGGAAGTGGGTTAAAGGGGTTGTTGGGCTGTTGAAGATGGAATGGAGTGGTTGGTGGGCTTAATGACATATATTGAGGAGAGTGGGTCATGGGATAGGTAAAGATTGGTTGATTAGTGATTTAGTGGTGGTGGTTGGATAGTGTGGGGGGTGAGTGATGTGCAATAGATTATGATTCATGAACTTCATGCTCTTTCTAAAATGCCCTAAAAGTCCTTTTCTTTTCAAAATCATTACCTATTTTATTTTATTTTACTTATGAAATTGACGGAAGCATTATAATACAAGCTCTCAGTTTTTTTCCACAAAATTTGTAAACTACAAAATATTGAAAATAGTAGGCAGAAATATTACCAAATAGCGCTCCATAGCAACCAAGTTTGTAATTGATATTTCTATAAATTTTCCCAACTTTAAAATGTGAGTGTGTGTGTGTACATACATACAAAAAAACTATTATTGTTATCAAATCTCTAGAGTGCTAGTATAGCTTCAATGTTTTGATGGGTCATAATACTTCCAATTGCAGTAGAGCCTATTACTGCCCATGTTTCAGCTACATACTTAGATCCTTCAATTCAAGAAGGCATCTTACATTTTTTAAAATTTTTTTAATATAGACTGCTCTCTGGCAGCACATTAAATTCTAATTGGAATACATTTGTACTGTTGCATATTTCAATAGTGAGCATGGTTACTGTGGTCTGAAAGTCTAAATCAATTGATTAGAGTTGAAGACATAATCATGAAGGAAAAATTAGCAAAAATGTTTTGATCTCTCTTCAGTGCTTGCAACCTAAATTATTTTGAATGGGAAGAATGCAAAATATTGACGTGTTAAAAATATAGAATTGTGTGTTGCACTAGATTACTGTTAAAGTGCTATTTTAATTTTGACTTGGTAACTTTTTGAGTTGAGCCTTTTATATTCTGTTCAATTGACCGGCACAAGAGACTAGAATAGTAGACGGGTATTAATTTCATATAAAGTAACTTCTTGAATTGAGCCTCTATTATTTTTCATGGAGAAAAGGGTCAAATACACCCCTAAACATTATAGGAAAGTGCAATTAAGCCCTCAAACTTTTAAAAAGGTCAATTAAACACATAAACTTATCATTTTGATGCATTGAGATCCAATAACCGGTAACCTACCGGTAATTAAACATCAAAAAGTTAAATCGGCCGCAGGCGACCGTTATCCGGTCGCCTCCTCCTCCAGGAAGAAGGCGACGTGGAGAAGGAGGCCGGCGTGCTGTTGGACGCCGGCGGCGGCGGTTTTCGGTTTCCGGTGTACTTTTTTTTTGGATTATTGTTGATGATGGCGGTCAACGGCTGTGATGGTGGTCAAAGATGATATAGTTACCGGTAACCTATTGGGTACCTGCTAAGTGGACCTATTTGATTGATTTTATGAAGTTTATGTGTTTAATTGACCTTTTTAAAAATTTGAGGGCCTAATTGCACTTTCCTATAATGTTTAGGGGTGTATTTGACCCTCTTCTCTTTTTCACGTGGCTACAAATATTCACTGGTATTGAGACTAGTTATGTCTAGGTTCATGGCGTTGGTCTCCATAATTTATAAATATCATATTAAGGGTCTGCTCTTATTTTGATTTACTTTTGATGCAATTCTTGTTTCTTGGGTCTGGTCAAATAAAGCATTTGGCTTGATGAGTATCTTCTCCTTTCCCTTTTAAAGGTGTTGTCTTGTTGATTCAATCTGCTTACTGCTAACCTGGGTACAACTGAGTTCTTTTAAGTTTCTCTGTCATTTTGATACGTGGTTGGTTTGTCCTTAACTTTCCTTTGAACATCAGGAGTTTGCCAAATCTTTTACACAGATGATGTAATTAGTGTTGAATGGCAATTCAAACAATCCATCTCTTGCCAAGATTAGATATGATTCTATCTGTTAGGAGCTTATTAGTAATATCAATTATGTTTATTAAATTTCATGTTATCACTGGTAAAAATGGAAACTAGTTCAAATTTCAACCTTGTTTTATACGTTACTATCTATTATGTACTTTGTGTCATTTAATCCCTTACAGGTAATACTTTGTAATTATTGTACTCATTTATGTTTGATTCCCATTGGGGTGTAGTCAATAGGGTAGTGCTACAATGAGCATAAATAATTCCTTCCTAAAGTTGTGATATTTTCTATGGGATGTTAGCCTGTTAGGCTCTAGCTCTAGCATTTCAAAGTGGGTTGAATGACTTCCCCTTTCCTATCCCATAATGTGTTGTACATCCTACATTCCTACTGAGTGTGCTAGGTATGTCCCTAAGATATTTCTGAAAGTGATGACTTTGATTTTTATATATTTTGTTATTTCTAATAGTGGTGTAGGATGATAGGATTGGTTTTAAAAAGATTCCAGGGATCTTTGATTTTCTTTTTCAAGATTTCTATTTTCCTGATGTGGCAGTAAAAGAAATACTCTGCTGCTCGCTTAATCTTGTGTGATATATTCATGTGTATCTATTTCTGCAATTGAACTTTCAGAAACCTGGTTGATAGATGTATTTTGAATTTTAACATATTTGGCATAAATGTTAAGCGATCGTTTAGAGATTACTTCCTTCTTGTTAAGAGTCCTATATGGGTTATAAGGCCACGAGTTAGACTAGCTAATTGATTGGATTCAATCTTTTAGTGTGGTTTGGCCCATGTGCATTACAACCCAGTTGAGTGGCCTCGGCCCAATCTTAGATTCTAACACGGTATTAGAGCTTGTTCAGTCCACTTTGTGTTCACCTGGTTAAGCCGGTTTCAGGGGAGGATCCAATCCCAAGCTTGTTTGGTTCACTTTGATTTCACCCGGTTATCAGTGGTATTGGTGGCGTCCAAAGTTTTCGTTAATTTTGATTTTAGGATTATATGTATTGTCCCTGTACATTCTACTTATTTTACTGAAATGATCAGTTTTTATATGTACTGTCATTCTTATTTTTTGATTTCCTATTGATAGAAAGTTGATTCTTGTCAAGCTTGTGGTGGAGATGAGAATCTCTTGAACTGTGAAGCTTGTACTTACGCGTATCATCCAAAGTGTTTACTTCAACCCTTGGAAGCGACTTTTCCTAGAAGTTGGAGGTGCCCTGAAAGTGTATGCTCTTGTTTCCCTAACAATTGTTTTTCTAAAATTAAGGTGATAGTCAGTAGTTATTTAATATATATATATTTTCCTTTCCACTATGATTTTCTCTGTTCATAGGTGAGCCCTCTCAATGATATTGACAAAATATTGGATTGTGAAACACACCCAACTATTGGTGATGATACTGATGCTTCAAAACTTGGATCAAAGCAAATATTTGTGAAACAGTATGGTGTTAAGTGGAAAGGATTCTCTTATCATCGCTGTGCTTGGTATATCTCCATTGTGACAGTGCTTAGCTTTCTTTGATCTGATTTTTTCCCCTCGCTATATGAAATCTATAGTTTGATGGTTTTTCATGGTTGAATATTAATGTCCCATTTCTGCCAATTAGCTTAATTTTCATACCATTTCTGCAATGTTGATTCTCAAAGATCATTTGCCTTCACGATTTACTTTGCTAAATTACACAAGGCAACAGTTTCTCATGTGTTGTATACTATTTCAGCATGCCTGAGAAAGAGTTTGTCAAAGCTTACAAGACTCTTCCTTGTTTGAAGACTGAAGTGAACAACTTCCATCATCAAATGTCATGTATACTGCTCGTTCTTGGATTATTTTTCTGTTTCATTCCACTTTCTTCTTGTGATCCCGGACTGGGCTGCCCCAAGACTTGGAACAGCTCTCTTTTGAACTACACATATCAATTCTCCATGGCACAGCATCAATTGCGCGGTGTACTGAATGTAGTGGATGGTTGCTCCTTTAGGGTTAGCCAATTTGATATGCTGGAGGGTTCTGATGTGCGTTGGTGGGGTGCTGTTGGAGAAGAATTTGAGAATCTCACCAAGGGTTTTGTGATTTCTGATCAGATTTTGAACAAGACCTATAAAAATGAGAGTTTTGTTGTAAGTTTGATGAAGAACATGACATGGGATCATATCAAGGTTGTTTCCGTTTGGGATCTGCCTACAACCTCGGGTTTTGGGCATGTTGTACTGGGAAATTCGACAAACTCAACTAATTATTTGGCTCCGTCAAGTGTGTATGTGAATGGGTCTGAAGTTCAGGCAAAAGGGCAACCCACAATGTTGGAGAATTGCAGAGTCTTGTCTGAGAATTATAGGATTAGGTGGACTTTAAATGAAGATACAATTGATATTGGATTAGAGGCTGCAATTCCATTTGTTAATTATATGGCATTTGGGTGGGCAAATCCTAATGCTTCATCTAAGTTTATGTCTGGCGGTGATGTGACAGTCACAGGTTTCAGGGAGGATGGCATGCCATTTGCTGATGATTTTTTCATTTCAAAGTATAGTGAATGCATGATAAAAAAGGATGGAAATGTTGAGGGTGTTTGTCCAGATACTGTATATGAACCATCTGATCAAGTATTAGTAAATAATACAAGGTTGGTTTATGGTCACAGAAGGGATGGTGTGTCGTTTATTAGGTATAATAGGCCCCTTAATTCTGTTGATAAGAAGTATGATATTGCATTGTACCCAAAGGATAAAATGACAGTTATATGGGCATTAGGATTGATAAGGCCTCCAGATAGTCTCCGCCCTTTCTATCTTCCACAAAACCATGGGGGTACATATGGGCACTTGACCCTTAACATTTCAGAACATGTAAATGATTGCCTTGGACCTCTTGATGCGGATGATAAACAAGATCAAGATCTTGTAATTGCTGATAAAAAGGAACCACTTATTGTTACAGCAGGTCCAGCATTATATTACCCCAATCCACCAAATCCTTCACGAGTTCTCTACATCAACAAGAAAGAGGCACCTATTCTCAGGGTTGAGAGGGGAGTTCCAATAATATTTTCACTACAAGCTGGGCATGATGTGGCATTCTATATTACTTCTGACCCAATTGGTGGAAATGCAACATTGAGGAATGCATCCGAGACAATATATTTTGGGGGTCCAGATGCAGAAGGAGTTCAAGCCAGTCCTACAGAAGTGACTTGGGCACCTAACCGTAACACACCAGACCTGGTTTACTATCAGTCTGTTTATACACAGAAAATGGGTTGGAAAGTTGAAGTAGTTGATGGTGGTTTACCAGATATGTACAACAGCAGTGTTATTTTGGATGACGAACAAGTTACCCTCTTCTGGACATTGTCAGAAAATTCAATAGCTATGGCTGCTCGGGGCGAGAAAAAGAGTGGTTATCTTGCAATTGGGTTTGGTCGTGGAATGGTGAATAGCTATGCTTATGTGGGTTGGGTTGATTTGGACGGAAAAGGAAGGGTAAGCACATATTGGATAGATGGAAGAGATTCCTCTAGTATTCATCCAACATATGAGAACTTGACAAATGTTAGATGCAAGTCAGAAAATGGCATCATAACTATGGAGTTTACCCGTCCATTTCTTCCATCATGCATTAAAGATGATAGGCCAGAATGCAAAAACATTATTGAGCCTACAACCCCACTCAGAGTTGTATGGGCAATGGGTGCTCAATGGTCAGAGGGCCACGTAAGTGTGAGAAATATGCACTCTATAACAAGCAGTAGGCCTGTTCAGGTGCTGCTTATGCGTGGTTCTGCAGAGGCAGAGGAGGATTTACGTCCAGTATTAGCTGTACATGGATTCATGATGTTTCTAGCCTGGGGTATCTTGCTTCCGGGTGGGATTCTGGCTGCTAGATACTTAAAACATGTTAAGGGAGATGGTTGGTTCCAAATTCATGTTTATTTGCAGTATTCAGGAGTAGCAATTGTTTTCCTTGGCTTTCTTTTTGCTGTAGCTGAACTTCGGGGCTTTGCATTCAACTCACTTCATGTTAAGTTTGGACTTCTTGCCATAATACTTGTCACTGCACAACCAGTGAATGCATATTTGAGACCTAAGAAGCCTTCTCCGGGTGAGGAGGTTTCATCAAAAAGAGTTCTTTGGGAGTATGTCCATGTTGTCACCGGCAGATGTGCCATCATTGTTGGGATTGCTGCTCTTATAAGTGGAATGAAGCATTTAGGAGACAGGTATGATGATGAAGATGTCAGTGCACTCATCGGGGCCTTAATTGTTTGGTTTCTAATTGGTGCTTTGACAATGATATATTTGGAGTATCGTCAAAGGAAGAGAAGGCGAGATAGAGAATTTGCAAGAAGCAATTGGGTGTTGGGTAATGGTGAGGAGGACGATGTTGATCTACTGAGTCCAAGCAGGGCTGTAGACAAAGACTTGCAAGGTTCTGAAAGAATGGAAGTTCAACTGGAACCCTTGAAAAGATAGAGATACACACAGATTTGTTGTAAATTTTGGACTCACCACCACCAATTTTGGCGCTTGTTAATGGTTCAGTATATAGCAACCCATCTTTATTTTCCTAAATCTTTGAACCCCTTTTTCATTTCCAAATGCTTATTGATGGTTTGTTGCTGCCTAAAGATTTGGTCCTACATCCTCTCACCCTTACCCCTAAACAAGGAAAAAGATCACTGAAAGAAATGCTTTTTTTACTCTTAAAGATTGATTATATGTAGACTGCACTGGTCTTTTTTCTTCAGGTTATATCTACATTGGACCAAGAGCTGTTCTTGCAACCGTGCTTGATTTGTTAGCCTTCTTCCTTTGTCCTGCTCTGCATTTGATGGATCATTAATATTTCCAAGTAGAATCAATACCATGAAAGTAATTGGCTAAAAATTACTTTTTTCATGTAATTATTTAGTTTATGAAAGTGAATCCTATATTCCTATGTGCATGGGATCCAAGAGTTTAACAATAATATGACAAACCACTATAAAGGATATAACTTTTTGACTAATTAATTTTCCAGTTTTAGACCATAATATATATATTTTTAAAGAAGTTTGTTTTTCTTAGTTTGACATGTTTCTGATGCTACCCAACTAATGTTCACCTTTTGGTTGTGTTGGAGACCACTACCCCATTCTCCTTGCTTCCTTTCCTTGCAATTACAATCTACCACTATATATTGTCAAATCAGGGGTTTGAGTCAAATAAGATGATCTGACTTTGAAGAGAAGTGGTTTGGGTTCAGTTTTTGAATCTGATATGCTGAGGTATGATTTCATATTCTTCATATAAATTGTATTGCCTCATTAGTCATTTTGTTGGGATTCAAACCAGCACACAAAAACAAAAGACATGCTTGTTTTTCTTTGATGTGGTTAAATGTAGTATGTCAAAATTTAGTTTAAAAGTAGCTTCGGGCTTGTTTTAGGTTGTATTTTATTTAGTTGATCTTTAAATTGATACAAGCTCTCAATTTTGTTCCACAAAATTTGTAAACTACAATATAGCAAACAGAACTATTACCAAATAGGGCTCCATAGCAACCAAGTTTGTAATTGATATCTCACTAAATTTTCCCAACTTTAAATTGTGTGTGTGTGTGTATACATCAACAAACTTTAGTTATTGACTCTCTAGAGTACTAGTATAGCATCAATGTTGTGACGAGTCATTAGCCTTGTGATGCATATAGACTGCTCTTTGGCAACACATTAAATTCTAATTGGAAGACATTTGTACTATTGCATATTTCAATAGTAAGTACAAAAAAACTATTGTTGATGGGATGATAGGATTGGTTTTAAAAATTTTCCAGGGAGCTTCGGTGTTTCGTTTTCAAGATTTCTATTTTCCTGATGTGGCGGTAAAAGAAATACTCTGCTGCCCTATATGCATGTGTATCTATTTCTGCAACTGAACTTTAAGGAACCTGGTTGGCAGATGTATTTTTAATTTTAACCATTTAGATGTCCGTTACATTTGTTTTCTTTGTTTAAAAAAAAAAAAAATCCTAAGGATTTGGCATAAATGTTAAAGCATCCTTTAGAGATTACTTCCTTAATTGTGATTTTAGGGTTATATGTATTGTCCTTGACTCCTTGTACATTCTCTTTATTTTGTTGAAATGATCATTTTTTATACTTCGATTTTTATTTTTTTGTCTTCCTATTGATAGAAAGTTGATTCTTCTCAAGCTTGTGGTCGAGATGAGAATCTCTTGAACTGTGAAACTTGTACTTATGCATATCATCCAAAGTGTTTACTTTAACCCTTGAAAGCCCCTTTTCCTAGCAGCTGGAGGTGCCCTGGAAGTGTATGCTCTTGTTTCCCTAACAATTGTTTTTCTAAAATTAAGGTGATAGTCAGTAGTTATTTATTTATTTATTTCCTTTCCACTATGTTTTTCTCTGTTCATAGGTGAGCCTTCTCAATGATATTGACAAGCTTCCGTTTCCGTTTCAGGGAGAGGGTCCAATCCCAAGCTTGTTCGGTCCACTTTGAGTTTATCCGGTTGCCTATGGTATTGATGGTGTCGAAAGCACTTTTGTTTCACGGGGAGGGTCTAATCCAATTTGAAGTGGTCAATTGGTTAGATTCAAAATGACTTGGCTTGAGGGGGGAATGTTAAAGAGTCCACAATGAAAAAGAAGAGAGAAACATATGGGTTTATAAGGCCGTGGTTAGACTAGATAATTTACTGGATTCAATCTTTTAGTGTGGTTTAGTCCATGTGCATTAATAATCCAATTGAGTCACCTCGGCCTAATCTTAGATTCTAACAAATATTAATGTCACATTTCTGGCGTTAGCTTAATTTCATGCCATTTCTGCAATATTGATTCTCAGATCTTTTGCCTTCATGATTTACTTTATTAAATTACAAAAGAAAATAGTTCCTTATGTATTATATACTATTTCAGGATCCCTGTGAAAGAGTTTGTCAAAGCTTTACAAGACTCTTCCTTGTTTGAAGACTAAAGTGAACAACTTCCTTCGTCAATGTTATTTGATGAATGACACAGAAGATTATGTTGGTTTACGACCAGATTTAGCAGATATCATTCTTTCAGTGTTGTTTATTTTACTGTAAAGCTTTTTATTACTTGGATACCTTAAAGTGTTACTTAAATATGCGATTTGAGGCTGAGTTGGACTTAATCTCATCGTTTAAGTGGAAGAAAGTTACAGTCTGCATAGTGTATGTTTAGAGTGGTTTAATCAATTGGCATGTTGTTATTGCAGTATTCTACCTTCGATTTTGAGTATAGAGTTGATAGGTAGAGATAACAGTTTTCTAACCGTATTATTCTTTTGGTCACACAAGGCCTAGCTAGCTTCTATTTGATTCTCTTTTGATTAAGAGAATCTTATGATTATTTATCTCATATGATACAATGCCTTCTAAATAGATAATTATTATGATTATGGTTATGCTAGTCTTCTAGAAAATGTCTCTTTTAATTTCAAGCCACCTATTTCTTTTGGAACACTTGTATTCAAATATCTTCTGAACAACTTGTGGTATCTCCTATGGACTTAGCTCTTTTAGCCCGTTTGGTTCATGACAACTAATTGAGGAATGCAATTTAAATTCCATTGAAAATAAATTAATGAGAAAATTGATTGCATTGTTTGGCTAGTAGAAAATAAATTATTGAGTGTTATAAATATGTATTTAGTGTGGCCATTATTACTATTGATTATGTAACGGTCAGGAGATTTATGACCACATTATATCTTCCGTTACATTTGTGTATTATATATGTTGTGGTTGGATGTAATATGAAGGACACAGATATGAATGAATAAGAATATCCTCTTGGCCTTGTCTCTTACTTTCACTCTCTGCAGTTTCTTTGATCAATCAATCATGTTGGAGCTAATAGGTTACAACACGTTATCAGCACGCTCAACCTCAGGAGTGAACGGTAATTGTACAAGTTTTTATGCCTTATTATTTCCGGATTCCTTAAATCACATATGTTTATGATTTTGTGAATTTGCGAATTTATACATATGATGATTTATTTTTTTCTGATAATATATGCATCGGTGGAATATATATTCTCTGTGATTTATGTCTATGTTTCTGCCAATATCTATATACTTTGATAGTATATATTTTGCATAATCATTTTCCAGTATGTATAATATACATATCTTTTCCGGGTTTTTTATTTTTTTTTATACTGTGTATATGTTTTATGCTAAAAAAAATAAAAATCACTTTGTAATGCATCTTACATACTCCGCATATTCTAAACCAAACAAAATCTACAATCTACACATATGTATCTGTTTTAATTTTGTTTTGTTTTAACACTATGAACAACCATATATGTGTTTTTGTAATTTTGTACTGATATACTATTTTTGCCCGATCAATAAATAAACTATACCTTCTGCTTGTTCGCTGGATTCAAACATCCTTTTTTTTTTTTTTTTTATTTAATGTCGACGACGGCGTGAATGGCGTTGGATGGAGAAACGCTGGCAACCGGTGGGAGGCGACTGAAGCGAGATGGCGGCGGCGACGCGACTGGCCTTTGCAGCCCGCTGCTGCTGTTTCTTTCTTCCTGTTTTCGCCGGCGACTGCGATCTTGGGTTGGCGAAGCCGGGTGTGATGACAACATCGCTGTTCGACGACGACGGCTACAATCGGCCGGTCGCTGGCGATCCGTGCGTCGCGATCGGCGATGGCGTCCTGACGGCGAATAGCACCACAAGCAGATCGGATCGACGACTGGAGATCCGTCTTCCTTGTTTTGGCCGCCGGCGATCCGACCATGAAAAATATATGAATTCAATAGCGTCATTGGTAACGGTAGCATGGAGAGACTCTATGATACTATGGTCCAAGATGAGAAACTTTCCATTGATTTAACAAATGTGGTTCCACGCCTAGGGCCCCTTACCACTGTCATTTACAATCTTTTGAATTGCCAGGTAACTGCATAATATTTTCATAGCAGGTTTATTCTTATTTTTGGTAATCTAAGCATATGACAGTCTTATGGTTACCCTTTAATCATTTTTATGGCTAGAAATAATTTTACAATTTTGCCATAATTTGATAATTTTGGTAAAGGTATTTTTTTTTAGTATTGCCATAATAATCTTGATTATGATATAAGAATCATATTTTAGAATTCATATTGAATTTTCTTATCTAAAATTTATGTGGTAATAATGACGATATTACGCCTTTCAATTATTGTTGTTGATTTTTTTATTCAGTTACGATACCAAAAAAAAAATGTTTATAACATTATTACTATTAAGTAATAATTATTTTGAACTGAGAAATTCATGTATCGTAACTTTATTGTCATTGGACAAATTTATGATGGCGGGCAAATTCATGTTCATGCCTCATCTCCTTACCATAAGTTTTATTATTATTTATGGATAATTGGTTGTGCATTCATGGAAATTGGTGTAACTCACCCAAAAATTATGCTTCATTGTCCATATAAAAATTGTCGTTAAAATCAATATATATTGATTATCCATATATATATATATCTTTCTTCCCGCTGGTACATATATAAACCAATTGCCACATAAATTATTGTTACACGATTTGTATGCTATGGCTAAATGCTAATGGTTTTCCATGCTATCCATGTCATTTATCCACATAAGTTCCGTATGCGTACCCATAGTTTAAATTGCTTTTAATATTACTGCCAAGGCTGTAAGGAAATAATTATGTTAGGCTTGCTGCTTCCCGGGCATTATACAATGCATTTGGCTTTACTCAAGCAAAATTTTAATAATGATATGGAGCGAGATTATATTATGAGAGTTGTGGCTACTCTTTCACCATAAGTGAAAATTTGACGGGATTTTTTTAATGTTTGGTGTCTAATTTCATCAACATGCTACGAGATGTTTGCTCCAT